CGGACGGAAGATCTTCCTCTCTGTCTCTCCTCTCTGTATATCTGCCTTTCCAATGAAAAAATAATAAAAATAAATCTTTAAAAAAAAAATCATTTTTAAAAGATTTATTCATTTTCATTGGAAAGGTAGGTCCTACAGAGAGAAAGAGAAACAAAGAAAGCTCTTCTACCCACTGGTTCATTCCCCAAATAGCCACAATGACTGCAGCTGAGCTGATCTGAAGCCAGGAGCCTCTTCTTGATCCCCCACATGGGCACAGGGCCCTAGGACCCTGGGTCATCCTTCACTGCTTTCCAGGGCCACAAGCAGGGAGCTGGAAGGGAAATGGAGCAGCCAGGACACAAACCAGCGCCCACATGGGATCCCAGTGCACAAAAGGGGAGGATCTAGCCACTGACCCATGGTGCTAGGCCCTAAAGAATAATTTTAAATGAAAGATTGAGTTTTTATAAATTCTCAGGCTTCACATATAATTTTTATTTTTAGAAATCCCTATTCTTTTGATTTTTTTTAGATAAAAAAAATGTTTATTTGAAAGACAGAATTACATAGAGATCTCCAATTCACTGATTCATTTCCCAAATAGCCACAACAACCAGAACTATGCCAGACGAAAGCCAGGAGCCTGAAACTTTATCCAGTTCTCCTATGTGAGTGGCAGAGGCCCAAACATTTGGGCCACATTTCACTGCTTCTCCAGGTGCATCAGCAGGGGGCTGGATCAGAAGTGGAACAGCTGGGATTCAAACCAGAGCCCATATGGGACGACTTCATCCTCTGTGCCATAGAACCGGCCCTTTAAAACATAAACTGAATCCACATACAAATTATTTCTACTAAGTCAAAAGGAGGACGGAAGATCTTCCTCTCTGTCTCTCCTCTCTGTGCATCTGACTTTCCAATAAAAAATAATAAAAATAAATCTTTTAGAAAAAACCATTACAACAGTAACATCACAATTGAGTGTGTGTGTGTGAATAAGAGTGTTCAATCAACTATCCCACAGCAAGCTTCTGGCACTTCTTTGTTGTTCTACAAGTGAAATGCTTCTCAGTCCCAAGTGGGAAAGAGATTTCTCTTTCTCAAGATTTAAGAAACCCAACTGTAGTTTCAGAACCTTTCCCCTATAGAAAATGACACACAAATGAGCCAACAAACATCACTGTTCAAAGTATGGGTAATCAAGGTGAACACTAGCCACTACCTAGACTACATTCAGTATTCTCTAAATCGTTCTATGCGTTTCTTTTAAAAAAAACAAAGTTATCTTTACTTTTATTTGAAAGACAGATTTTACAGAGAGAGGGGAAATAGAAAAGGTCTTCCATTTGCTGGTTCATTCCCCAAATGGCCACAATGCCCCAAAGTTAAACTGATCCAAAGCCAGGAGCAAGGAGCCAGGAGCTTCCGCCATGTTTCCCACGTGGGTGCAGGGACCCAAGAAATTGGGCCATCCTCGACTGCTTTTCCAGGCTCTAAGTAGGAAGCTGGATGGAAAGTGTAGCAGCTGGGACATAAAACGGCTCCCATATGGGATGCCAGTGCCACTTCATAATTTTTGCCACGCTAGTGATGTGCTGTGGTATCTCATGTTTCATGTTTGCATTTCCCTATTTATTAATCCAGTTCATTGGCCTTTGGATTTCCTCTTCTGTCAAATACCCTACAGAAGTCAGTTGCCTATTTTTCTATCAGGCTGTCTTTTTCTCATGAATTTATAGGAATGATTTATATATGATGGATTCAATCTGTGATTTTTCCATTTTGTGGCATTTTCACTTTGTGGAGTCTTTTTGAAAAAACAGCTTTAGTTTTACAATATATATATATACCCAGTCTTCTCTAGCATCAACATGAGGATGACCCCTCTGGCACAATGAAAACCAAAATCAATGTCATTATCAATCACAGCCCACAGTTCATTTGGATTCCCTCTTTCTATTCTAGGATTCCATCCACAATACATTGTTATATTCTTTCAAATCCTACCTCTGAACCTCTAGTTTTATTTTGTTTTGTTTTGTTTTTAAGATTTGTTTTTCCTGGAAAGGCAGATTTACAGAAAGAAGGGGGTACAGAGAGAAAGATTTCCTGCCCACTGGTTCACTCCCCAAGTGGCCACAATGGAGCTAAGCCAATCTGAAGCCAGAACTTCCAGGTCTCACATGTGGGTGCAGGGAGGGTCCTCGCTTTCCCAGGCCACAAGCAGGGAGCTGGATGGAAGTGGAAAAGCCAGGATACAAACTGGCATCCATATGGGATCCTGGCACATGCAAGGTGAGGATTTAGCCACTGTACCATCACACCAGGCTCTGCACCTCTAGTTTTGACTCTCAAGAGCCCAGAATTTGACATCTGTTTCCTGGTTCTTCTCTGCTACTGCTCCTCTTGAGGCCATGCATGGGGGCCCTTTGGGCCTGGATATGGGAGAGGAGGCATGCTGAAGAAGAAGAAGGCTTCTTTTAGGCTACCAAATAGGTCATCACTTCAAGTAGCATCCAGTGGCACACATCAGTGCAGTAGAGGAAAGTAGTAGAGAATGGCCCAAGTCCTTGGTTTTTTTGTACCCACATGGAAAACCCTTAAGAAGCTCCTGGCTCCTCCTTCAGATTAGCCCAGCTCTGGTGGTTGTGGCCATTTAGGGGAATGAACCAACCACCAGCTGGAAAATCTGTCTGTGTTTCTTTCTGTCTCTGTAACTCTGTCTTTTAAATAAAAATAAATATTGTGGCTTGCACAATGTGTCTATTGGGTAATCTTCTGCCTGTAAGTGCCAGCATCCTATATGGGCACCAGCTCATGTCCCAGCTGCACTACTTCCCATCAGTTCCCTGCTTGTGATCTGGAAAAGCAGTGGAGGATAGCACAAAGCCTTGGGACCCTGTACTCACATGGGAGACCCAGAAGACACTCCTGGCTCCTGGCTTCGGATTGGCTCAGCTCTAGTCACTGAGATCATTTGGGGGGGCCCAGTACGATAACCTAATACCTAAATCCTCGCCTTGCATCCCTCAGGACCCCCATATGGGCGCTGGTTTGTGTTCTGCTGCTGCACTTCCCATCCAGCTCCCTGCTTGTGGCCTGGGAAAGCAGTTAAGCATGGCCCAAAGCCTTTGGACTCTGCACCCATTTGGGAGACCTGGAAGAAGCCCCTGGCTCCTGGCTTTGGATGAGCTCAGCACCAGCTGTCGTGGCCACTTTGGGAGTGAATCAGCAGATGAAAGAGCTTCCTCTCTGTCTCTCCTTCTCTCTGTAAATCTGGCTTTCTGATTAAAATAATAATAATAACAATATGTCTCTAAGTTGAGATTTTTGAAAAAGAGGTCATTTGAGATTTGAACCAGCAGATGCAAGACCTTTCTCTCCTCTCTCTGCAAAATCTACCGTTCTAATGAAAATATTTTTTAAAAATAAATCTTTAAAAACGGATTACATTTGTATAAGCCAGTCACGATAGAGTTGATATTTTGGAAATCAGTTGGTTTAGCCATTTTGTTTATAACAGTTTCACATTCCTAATGGAAAGCTCTTTCTTTCCACTTTGAGGTTTCTTTAAAGTCACGTTTGTGCAAATTCTTCCCTGAAGAAAAAAAAGTACAACCATGAGAGTCAAGAATTTTCCATTCCCTGGGGTTGTATGAAGAAACTCCCTGTGCATTCCCTAGCTTCAAAGTGGACACAACAAGCGTGTTCTAGAAGGCTCTCGCTGCATACCTGGGACATGTTCTGGCTCTACTTTCCTGTTGGGCCTGTTCTGCCTGGGGTGAGCCTGCAGCCTGGGCAAGCTCCTACAGCCACTCCTTTGACCCTAGTCTCCTAATTTTCTGCACAGTGGATTCCAAGGGACAAAGAATGGGGTGTGAGGAGTAAGGAAAGAGCAATACATTCTTCCTGCCATCCCCCAAAATTCTCTTAATAATGCTCAAAGACCTCCAACGGTTCTTCTATGTATAGTTGAAATTCTCAGTAAGTCAACCCCCAACTGCAAGTCTTAGCTCTGGATGTCCCTCTCCCCACACAATCCCTTCGGTCACTCTACGCAAGCCAGTCATGCTTCACGTGAGCAGGCTGGCTCCCTGCCATACCTCACAGTCCTGGGTACCTGGACTCTCCCTACTTGCTTCCAAAACCTGAGCCATCTGTTAGGTTTCAAGCTGGCACGTCATTTCTTTGCAACCACAGATGCTACACGGCGCCACTTCTCGGCAATAGAGTACAAGCTGTGGGAAGACAGAACTTTGGTGTGCTCAGAATGGCTAGCCATCACTCATCCTCACGAACCGCCTGCCCACACTGACACACCAAAGGCCAAAATGAAGCAATGGCTGCAAGAATGAAGTAATGCACGTTCAGTCCCACTTGGGCACTATGCATGAGAAAGTGCTTGGAGGTAGAGTTGCCAGTCTTAGCAAATCAAACTGCAGGATGCCCAGTTCTACCTGAATTTCACATAAGCAAGGAATGCTTATTTGAGTCTAATGAGGTTCTCTGAAATATTTGCAACATCCTAAAAGCGTTCTGAAGTTAAAGCTTAACAGGGTGTCTTGAATTTTATCTGGCACCCCTCTTGGGAGGACAGGAGTTACGCCACGGAACCGGCTCACTGTAGGTGCTCAGATCTGGGTAGAGCATAACCCCAAACTCGCCCCAGATCCGCAGCTGGAATTCCTGGCGGGCAGACACTCGCCCTGGTTGGAGATGTCACCAGCAGACGCAAACCAAAAGGCCGCACCTGGAGGCATTTCTAGCCCCACGGGTTCTAGAGACCCCTTGACCCTCTCCGGCATCCGCCCTGGGCTGACCACCCACCCTACCTCCATCTCGTGACCCGTCATCACGGGTCTGGGGACGGAACTGCTCGGCTGTTCGAGCCTTGCTTCCCACTGGTAGAGCCTTCGATCCGTCACTTGAGGCTCCGCCCATCAAGCTGACGACTCCCGAGTTGCGTCACCGCCGACGTCTGCGGCGTAGCCGCCGATTGGTGGAGAAGGAGGTATCTATCCCCGCGGAGGCGAGCGAAGGACTGGTTCAGGAGGTCGGAACGAGCCGTTTCGCGTCTCCTGCTCACGCAGCGGTTGTGGCTCGGCATCTCCGCGGGCTTACCTCGTCGCTCTGCAGTGTTGCAGCCACCGCGGGACCATGGCTGCACTCATTCTGCTCGTGTCCCTGCTGATGGCAGGTGAGGAACCCCGGGCAGACGGGGCGCGCTCGGGAGTGGGGGTGGGAATGGGGGCCGTGCCGCGAGGCTCGAAGGGTCGTGGGCAACCGCAGGTGGGCGGCGGCGGCGGCGGCGGGGCGCGTGCCGCAGTGCGGGGAGCCGACGGCGGCCTAGCTTCTGCACTGGTCTGCCTTCGCGATCGGCTGGGGCGGTGCGACTCAAGCCGCCTCCACCCTCCGCCTGCCGCGTCGCCGACCTCCGGTCAGCACAGCCTCCTTTTCCGGCTCCGGAGGCCCTTCGGAGGACGGGGATGCTTTTCCCAATGAACTGTTGAACCGTAGCCCTCTGCCACGAAGGGTAAGCCGACTTCCTAGCCTCCACGGGCTGTTGCCTTGTTTTGCGTTGACGTGGTGCCCTAATATCCAGTGGTTGTCGTTAGCAGTGGACAGAACGGCCTCCCCTCCCTTGTAGATGTCTCAAGACGTAAAAGTTGAGGTGGAGTCATTGTTTTATGTGATTATGTATTTTTTTCAGGCGAATATAGAGCACCTCGCACGAGTGTGTCACAGTTCCTCATTTTAAGGGAAAGTAGGATGTCAGTCGCCTCCTTAGGGTCACAAATACATGGCAGCTTTCCGATTGGAGCCCAGGTTGGCTACCATTTAGTAAAAGGAGTGCAAGTCCAGTAGTATGTGGCCTTTTGCTTTGTAGTGTGGTAACGTGTTTTCTTTTGCAGCAATTCCTAGAAGAGGGTATGGGCCTCATCTTTGCAGCTTGATCGAGCCCAAATACACTACCCAGCCCCCACAGGGAGTAAGCGGCAAGCCTGGATTTGAATCCAGATCTGCTGGCTCCCCGGGGAGGGGCCGGCGGATTTGAATCCAGATCTGCTGGCTCCCCGGGGGAGGGGCCGGCTCTTGCATTCGGCATGCTGTGGCACAGGTCCTAGGACTGTGCAAGAATGTGGCAGTGATGGGGGTAGAGCGGGCTGTGATGGTGGTGGACTGGGCTGACATACTTTCATTCATACTGAACAAGTGGTCAGGTTGCTAGCAGGCTGGCAGAGTGGGTGCACTGCTTTTGAAATTGCAAAGAATCTTCCCTCTGATAATTTCAGTTGAACTGAACATTTGTTGAAACTCCAAGTTTTCATGTAGGTTCGATAGAGCTGTGATTCCGTGAGGTTTGGGTTTTGCTGTTTACTTTGGGTCTGAGATCAAGAGACCAAGGAATTGGTCCTGTTGGGCGCTTTGAGCAGGCTTTTTGTATCAGAGTAGTGTCGTGCTCACAGAACAGGGTTCTGATCCTGTCGGCTTCTGCTTTGCCTGGGCTTGTCTGCCAAGATTAAATGGTTATTTTCCGCAATGACCAAACATGACTTAATGGAAAACATGGTTAGCAGCTCTGCCTTCTCCATTTCAGAAAAAGAATAAAAATCCTTCAAAACGGTGTTATGAGACTAGAGGGGAAACTAAGGAACGAGCGAGAAAGGGAACAAGAAACATAGGGAACTTGGGTGATGAATGCCAGGTCATGAGAAGCATCTGGAGAAAAAAAAAATCCCGATGTTTAGCCTGGAAAGGAAAGGTCAAGGGGAAACACATGGAGTCTGAAGGGTTGCCTTGTAGAAGATGCAGTTCATTCAGTCACTGCTAACCTGGAGGACAAAAGTAGGATCCATTTTGGGGATGTTCTTGGCTGATTCCATCCACCTGTCGTAACAAGCTCCTGATGGAATGCCCCCAGAGCAGGACACTGAAGAGCTAGCTGCCTGCGGGCAGTGACCCTAGGAGCAGTGTCTTACAAGTGCAGACATGCCAGAAGTTATGGTGGGAAGCAACAGCAGGTGTGGAAAGCTCAGGAGCGTGAGACCAAAAGAGCAGATGGTTTCGTGGGGCCAGGCTGTCTGGGCACTGGGTTGGGGAGGTCCCGGAAATAAGGTTGCTGAGGTTCCCTGGAAGTTTTTGGGATTTTGCCTTGAAGGGAATGAAAGTATGTAAGCCAAAATAATGACCCAGCAGATGTGTATTTGCAAAGTGGTGGGATGCTGGAACCAGGGAGTGACATTAATGGGGGCACGCGACAGGCAGTTGCCACCAACCTGGTGAGGCCCATCCAGGGAGGGGAGATACTTAGGGGGGAAAAGAAACAGCATTCAGGGGTCGGATAAGAGTGGTGCAGAATGCACCACTGGAGCAGCTAAGTGGAAGGTGATGTCATCTTGCTATTAGGGAAGATAGAGAAACACGTGGCGAAATGGTGACTTCAGTTGTGAACCTCCTGAGCCCATGGAAATGCTCAATAAACTGTTGGGTGTGTAGGTCTAATGCTCTAGGAAAATGGAGGCTGGAAATAAAGATCAGGGAGCCATTAGTATGTGTTTACTGTTTACAGCCTTAGGAGTGGATGGGCGAGTTGTAGACTGGAAAAGCAGCGAGGGTCAGAAGTGAAGTCCTCAGATCTCAGAAGCACAGTATGCTAGCTGGAGTGCCATGAGAATGTACTAGAACTTAGCATTTATGTCTGTTTTTTAAAATATTTGTTTGAAAGGCACAGCGACACACATGCATACATATAGAATAGTTAAGGGAAGTTATGCAACTACCACTTGACTCCCCAAATGACCACAACAAGCTAGGGCTTGGCCAGAATGAAGCCAGCATCCAGGAAGTCCATCTGGGTCTCCCACCTGGGTGGAAGGGGCCTAAGCACTGCTTTCTTAGGTACATTAACAGGGAGCTGGATCAGAAGCGGAGCAGCTGGGATCTAAAAAGATACTCTGATTTTGGGATGCTGATATTGGGCTGTCTTCCACCACTTTCCCAGACCACAAGCAGGGAGCTGGAAGGGAAGTGGAGCAGCCAGGATACGAACCAGTGCCCACATGAGGACCTTAGCCACTAGGCTACTGCACTGGGCCCCCAGGGTGCTTCAAAATGCTGTAAACATGTGCACAATGAAATTCTATTTTTCCACAGACTTTGATGTTATACACAAGATCTTCAGAAAGTTCACAAACTATATATATAATATATATGTGTATATATAGTTTGTGATATATATAATATATATATATATAATACCAAAAAAAGATGTGTGGACTTCAAAAATTTTCTTACTCCCCAAATAAACCTAATTCTGTGTTCCCTGAACTTTTTGAAGTGCCCCAGGTGCAGATGGGGACTGTGCTAGTGCTGTGCTCGAAAGGGGGAGGTGTATGAAGTTGGAGCAGCATGGCTGCAATGGCTGTTAAGGCGGAGAGCCTGAAGGCAGCAGAGTGGCTGGAAGCAAAACCAGGCACTCTGGCTTCCTGAGGCCCCAGTCAGGAGATTCCCACGGAGGGAAGGAGCTGCTGGTGATGCTTAGGGCTTTCAGCACTAAAAGATGGTTTTGGGAGTGGCTCAGTCATTTCAGTGACAAGGTCAGAGCTGTTCTAGGTCAGGGGGCACATAGGTGAGAGGCAGGAGAGAAGCCAGAGGTGGCAGACTGCTCCCCCTCTGAAGGGGGGTGGGGTGTTGGGAGGGAAGAGGCTGGGAGCCTGGGAGGACCACAGGAAGGGCCCTGTGTGGTTATAATGTTCGCATGACAGCACCCCCCACACCCAACATGCTTTTACGCCACAGTGCAAGAACCAAGTGAGGGCAAAGGAGGTGGCCGACAGGAGACTCCACTTCATTTCATACTAAGCAGTCAGTGAGCCCTGCTCCCCCTATGTGCCAGGCTACAGCGTTCCCAGCCCCGAAGTCCCAGCGTTCCCAGCCTGCTGTAAACAAGATGCAGGAAAATCCTGGCTTTCACAGAGCTTGTATTCTACACAGCTGCTGTAAACGGTGGGGGCGAGAGAGCAGGTGGTTCGAGGAGTTCTAGTGTCTCCCCCGCCCCCCACACACAGCCCACGAGACCTTAGTACAGAAGCTCTGGCAGCTGGCTCAAGGAGAGGTTCTTCAAAGGGCAAGAGTGTTGGGACGGCAGTGTTGTCTGCCAGCCATCATGATGCTGTCAGTCCGGTGGGGGGAATGGGGGTGTCCCCCATCACGGTGGTGTCCAGGTGGCTTCCTACCAGACATTCCCAAGAGATAGGATACCTTCAGGAAAGCAGAATTGCTGTGGGGATGGGTGTGGGCAGGAGGCCACTCAAAGGCTTTGTCAGGTGCTTATGCCCTGGTGTGCAGGCAGCCTGCAAGCAGACTCCCAACTATCAAGATGAGGCTACAGCCCTGCTGGAGTCTGCTGAGTCGGACCACAGCTCGACACAGTGGTTTTTCCAGGTCGGGGGGGGGGGGTGCGGGTTGTTCAAATGCACATGGAAAGTGTGGGTCTCTTGCTGTCCCATTTTCCTTTGCTTCTGCTATACCCCTGCTCAGTGAACTCAGATGTCTGTCTGGGTCTTTTTGGTGGTGGTCTGCCTTTGGCTAGAACCCTTTGGAAATTCCTGCTCTGGTGACTGAATTTAAACTCCTAACTCCTAAGGTTGTATCAGCACCACTGTGAGGCCTTTTATTTACTGTCAACATTGCAACACCCAGTCACTGCTGCTTTCAACTTGGTTCATACCCTTCAATGATAAGTTAGGTCAAGAGAATAACATTGTGAGTTAACTGAAGTCCAACTGCCCCATACTAGAGAACACCCCCCACCCTTCCACACTCCAATTTCTTCTGGATTTGCAGCTAATGTTTATACAGGAACTAAGAAGTCTGAGTTGGCTGCTTGACCCTGTGGACGCTACACATGACCAGGTCAGTACATAACATGTATGTGGAAGTCAGACACCTCATCCTGAGCGCTGGGGGCTGTGTAAAATAGCCCCTCCGCTCATCCTTCATTGTCTAATCCCAGCCCCCGGAGTCTTGAACGGGCTGACTCTCAACTGCAGAAGGCCTTTTCTCACCTTCTTCATGTGTCAACTGCAAATCCTCTTTCTGGAGCTTATTTCTAAAGTCTGATAACCCATTTGACAGCTGTGTTTCACTAGGTTCACCTAGCAAGAATGTGGGCCATCTTAAGATACGCAAAGCTGCTGCGCTAACTGGGTGATTTTGGATTTGGTTGGACTGATGATAAAAGTAATGAAGAGACTCCAAGCTTTCTTCACTTTTTTTTTTTTTTTTGTCTATGCCAGGACGGTTTTCTGTTTTGTTTTGTTTTCATTCAAATGCCATGGAGTTCTTTTCTTTTTTTTCTTACAGGTCTTATTAGCTTTTATTTTTGATTCTAGAGTTTGGGAAACACCTCTTTCCATGAAACAGATGAAGTGTTCCTGTCACCCATCTCTAATTCTTGCCAAATTTCTGTGTGCCCCCTGTGAAGGCTTCTAGAATCATCAGGGGAATCCTGCTTTGGAAATGATATCTTTGTTGCAGCAAAGTACATGGACATAAATTCTTAACAGGATCCTCTGAAAAGTAATGTGTTGTTTAGGATTCAGCATTTTGTCCAATCTCAGCTTGATGTGCTGTGTCATTAGAAAAGAAGGAAGCACGAATTACATCTCATAATCTTCCCAATGGGTTGCAAGAGGTATGTGGTGCTTGTGATTCACTTCTTAATCTGCTCTCTCCTCAGGTGTCCTAGGCAATGAATTCAGTATCTTAAAATCTCCAGCGTCTGTGGTCTTCCGAAATGGCAACTGGCCCATCTCAGGAGAGCGAATCCCAGATGTGGCTGCACTGTCCATGGGCTTCTCTGTGAAAGAAGTATGTGTGCCACTTTGGAATGGCTGCTGTTGCTTCTCAAAGAAAGCAACGAACCAACATAGCTCCATTTGCAACAGATAAACCCAGTGAAAAAGCCCCTTTGTAGAGCTGGAGGATTTGGTGAAGTGCCTCAAGCTTGGCTTCTGAAGCCAAGTCATAAGCCATGAGGCATGCCGTTGTCTAGTCAGAGTAGTAAAATCCTTTGTCCATTAAAAAAATGCCGCTGTCCCAGTATGAACGGCATGTATGAGCTTTGGCTTTGACTTCAGTGCAGGGCATACATCGATTTGCAACATGTGATATGGCACTGTGTCTACATCCCGCCTGAGGTTCTGCAGATAATGTGGTTGGTAGCTGCAGGGCAGCCTGGGACCTTCCTGCTCGGCTGGAACAAAACTAGAACCTATTGCAGCAGCTGGCCACGCACGTAGACTGTTAACAGAAGCGCCGAGATCCTGGCCTCCCGAGAGAGCTCTGGAGCTGAGGGCTTAAAAAGCAAGGACACAGCAATTGGCTCTGTCCTACCGTCATTGTTTCCTCCCATTTTCTAAGTGTGGTGCTTTTAATACAGTCTCTAGATTTCAGGGGTCACCCAAAGCAACTTTCTTCTCACGCTTCAAAGCAAAAGCTCTGCTTGGGAGCCCCTCTGTTGCTGTGCCTAAAGTGGAGCCCCTTAACTCTTTGCAGTCTCATCACGCAACCAAAGTAAATGCAACTGGTTGTTTCTACTTAGGGGTGAAATTTCTTTCTTTCCTTTCTTTCTTTCTTGATTTATTTATTCATTTATTTATTTATTTATTTGAAAGGCAGAGTTATGAACAGAGAGGTCAATCTTCTATCCACTGTTTCACTCCCAAATGACTATAAGGGCCAAAGCTAAAACAGGTAAAGGCCAGCAGCCTGGAACTCCATCTGGGTCTCCCACATGGGTGGCACGGTCCACGCACTTGGGCCATCTTCTGCTGCTTTCCCAGGTGCATTAGCAGGGAGCTGGATCAGAAGTGGAGCAGCCAGAACTCGAACTGGTGCCCAATTGGAATGCCTGCATTGCAGGTGGCTGCCTAAGCTGCTATACCACAAATGCTGGCCCTCAGATGAAATTTGTAGCTAATTCTTTATAGCCTTAAATATGAATAAAAATGACTGTTAACCTTTAGAAATAATTATCAGCAAACTAAAATGAGTTACTTTCAACAGGAATTTTATTTAAAATGAGCTTACTCTGAAGATAATGTTTTTTTGTTTGTTTGTTTGTTTTTAATTTTTTTTTATTTTGACAACCCTTACATATTTAATTGGGGTAAAAAAGGTTCAAGGGCTACAGGGAAGTGGGCAAGACCACCACTTCCATACCGCTTCTGAAGAGAATGTTTCAATGAAAATCTTGGGCCCGGCATTGTGGCATAGCAAGTAAAGCTGCTGCCTGCAGTGGTGGTGTCCAAAATGGGCACCAGTTCAAGTCCCAGCTGCTCCACTACCCATCCGGCTCCCTACTAATGGCCTGGAGAAAGCAGGAAAAAATGGCCCAAGTGCTTGGGCCCTTACCACCTAAGCAGCTGCTGGTTCCTGACTTTGGCCTGGCCCAACCTTAACTGTTGCAGCCATCTGGGGAGTGAACCAGAGTTCCTGTCCCTCTGTCTCTTCCCCCTCTCTGTGTAACTCTTTCAAATAAATATTTTTTAAAAAATAACTGTTGATGGGTCATTAAGAAAGATAAAGAAAAAGATCCTGCATATAAAGGGGAAGCTTATATAGACAAAGAAAGTGTCCAATGCTGGCTTAAGAAGATAATATTTTATAAGCTGGAATTTGAAAAGAATTTTGTTTACTCACCTTTTTCCACAGAAAATTGCAGATGATTTAGAGATTTTGTTTCAAATTTACCAAGGGAGGCAGAAATTGACATTCTTGCTGAGGTCACAGTGATGACCCTGAATGAAATGCTGCCTCTCCCTGGGAATTGGCTTAACCAGTGTCACCTCAGGCCCCCTTATAACTCTGCTCGGATGCTTTGATTGGGGAGGTGATTTCCTGCATTCATCATTAAGCACCATTTTTTACTTTTGCATAGGACCTCTCCTGGCCAGGACTCGCAGTGGGTGACCTATTCCACCGGCCCCGGGCCACTATTATGGTGCTGGTGAAGGGAGTCGACAAACTGGCTCTGCCTCCGGAAGATGTCATTTCATACCCATTGGAGAATGTGAGTACCAACTAGAAGAAATGAAGGGGATATAGTCTTTGATTTGGTCAGCTGTCATTATGAACTATCTTCTAAACATCCTCTTCTTGGTTTGATGCACAATTTCTTGAAAGCACAGTTTCCTTAGCATGATTTGGAAAACACTTTCTCTGAGAACATGACATGGTGAATGTCAATTCACTGAGACATGGCTGTTCCATACAGGTGAGAGCACTTTTTGAGATCAGAATTAAAAGATCCCATTCACAATAGTCTGTCAGAGTTTCCAGGAACATTGCCTTTCCTGCAGCGTGGCATCTCCATGTGTAAGGAGACTAGAGGCTTGCAGACTCACTTCTTCCGGGCTTTCAGTCACCGCAAGTGATGGAGCCAAAAGTGAGTGTTCCTCCCCAAGTGCCAGACAGAACTTGGCAAAATCATTTCTACAGGTGTAGCGAAACGGGAAAGCAAGAAAGGTATCGCACAGTGCCAGAGAGGAATAGAACACTTGGGGGTACGCAGTTGGTACAGCAGTAACAGGCTCTACTTGGGATGTGTGCATCCCATATCAGACCACCTGGCTCTGCTTCTAATTCCAGCTTCCTGCTCATGCGCAGCCTTGGGAAGCAGGTGATGGTTCAGGTAGTTGGGTCCATGCCACCTACATGGGAGAGCTAGATTGAATTCCCATCTCCCAGCTTTGAGCTGACCTAGCCCTGGCTGTTAGGACCATTTGGGGAATCAACTGCACCTGCCTGTCTGCCTACTTTACAAATAATAAATTTTTTTTTTTTTAAGAAAAGACAAAAAAAAAAAAAACTAGCTAGCTCAGAAGCCACAGTTTATCAGGAGCTAACGCTGAAATTGTGCTCTCTGCAGAGAGCTGGGGACCACAAAATGCTATCATCCTTCCTTGAAGACTAGTGAAACTCCAGCTGCTCCTGAGGAGCTGGCTTGCCACCCTTGTCTGTGAGTCCCAAAGAGTCACCTGAGAGAAGTCAGAATTATAGGATTTGTACTGTGTACAGACTGGGTCATCACAACTCAGGTGACCCCCCCCCCCCCATAAGGACACCTCCACAACCTGGAACTCCTTCGATAAAAACACTGAAGATGAGTCACATTTACAAAACTCTTGAAAAAAAAAGTCATGAGAGAGTCAGCAGGTGCAGCAAATAAAATCCATCCCTTTAAACCAATCTCCAAGAAAATTTTTAAGTACATATATTAAAAGTATCAAAAAATTGAAAGAATTGAAACTATGAGGCAGTTATAACACATTTATGTTATGTGGTACTTTTGTCAATACAAAATAACTACCAATTTCTAAAAGTCTAATGTCATGGCATTGTACAAGACTGTGATCTGTGTGATGCCAAGTTTTGGGGAAGACTGAATTGTTTTTTGGATACTGCTGTGGCCTAGGGTAAATTACTGCCAGGCACATATGGTGGAATGCTTGCAAAAATGACCTGTGTGCTGGGTCACAGGGCACATCTCAAGGATGAAGAATTCTACATCATGTAAAGCACCTGCTCTAACCACAGCGCAGCTAAATATGAGCATAATAACAATGGTTGTTGAGAAGTCTGTTCAGATCTAGCCTTTTCCCCTCCGCAGCCTCTGCTAACCACCAGTCTCTTCTGTACATGTGTAAGTCAGCTGTTTTCAATTCTGTGTAGAAGTGAGATCATACAGTGCTTGTCCTGTGCCTGGCTGATTTCACTTACCATAACGTCATCCTGGCTCATCTGTGTTGTTGCACTGTTAAGACTGAATAATACTTTGTTGTGTGGCTACATCACAGTTTCTTAGCCCATTCATCTCAGGACAGATGTGTGGGTTGCTCACCTGTCTTGGCTGTTGTGGCTATGGCTGCCATGGGCAAGAGTGTAGCCATCCCTTCAGCTTACTTCCATTTCCTTTGCGTGAAATTGCTGGCTCATGTTTTAGTATCGCACAGAATGGTGCAAAGAATGGTAGAATAAAAACACATTGTGTTTTTCACAGTTGCTTAAAGGGTAGATATTAGATGTTTTAGTTATATGCAAAAAAAAAAAAAAGGAAAAGTATGTGAGGCAGTGGATTTGTAAAGTAACCTGATTTGATCATTCTACAATGTGTCAATGTGTACATATCAAAACATCACTGTAGGTGTGTGGTTCTATGGTGTGATGGTTAGCACTGTGGACTTTGAATCCAGTGATCTGAGTTCAAAACATCACTGTACCTCATAAATATCTACAATGATTTGTCAGTTTAAGATGAATATATGTGTGGAAATGATAAGAACAGACCACAGCTGTGACTCCTCAGGTTTAAAGCATACTGAACACCCAGGAGGCTAAAGCCAAATCAATATCTAGATCTAGAGAAACTGAAGAAGGAAAGAGCAAACCTTAAAAGCTATCAGACAGGAAAGACATCAGGGTTACAAAGGAATGAGAGTTGAATGACAGATTTCTCATCATTGCTATTGCAGACCAGAAGAACCAGAAAGGAAAAGTAACAATTATTTAGTATAAGGCTAGGCTGGGAATATTATGCCTATAGATATAATAACAAAATGATACTGATATAGGGAAATCCCAATAGAACTGCTGGGAAGAGGAAGAGCCAGAAGCAGAGTACTGGCCTGAGACGGGGGAGGGGCTGTGGGCTGTAAACCTATATTTTCTATAATGGACAGTAACTGGGAAACATCAAGATTCAGCAATATGAGTGTCTTACTTAGAGATGGTGCTAAAAACAAAGGGAAGCAATTAGAGGATTGAAAAGTGAGTGCCTCAAAGGAATAGGAAATGAGGAAAGAGGCAAATTTGCATACGAAGTCTTAGGAAACTGTTTGTCTCTTTAAGCCATGTGTATATATAACTCAAATTAATTTATTTTAGAAAGTCAACAAGAAGAGAGTTGCTCCAGAAGAGAATAGATGCACTCGTGAATAATTCATGGCTTGAGGAGGAGATCACTGTGGAGATTTCTAAATTATTTGGAACTGAATAACAATGAGTGTAGTATATATTACAAAGTTGTGGGGTGCAGCTGAAGGGGTAAGAGAAGGGAAATGTATAGCCTTATATGTGTATGTTAGACAATGTAGATGGGCCAAGATTGAAAATTAGTGAGCTTCTAGAAACCAGAAGAATTTCACGGTAAATGCCAGTAAAGCAGGAAGGAACCATATGCAGATGGAAAGGCAGATTATTTTCACAAGTGGTATTTTTCCAATTTATTGTGCAGTTTCTGAGACAAATCAATGTAGAAGTGTTCCTTTAAATAGAAAAGTCCAAAATGCCATTTCAAGACTTTCATTAGCATATAGCAACAAAGTTAGCACTGGAAAGGGAACTAACCAGTCCCCTTCCACACACCAGGAAGTTGGGCAAGCAACTCTTTCTATTGCTTGACTTTTCATGGGCCGCTCAGAATATACTTTTCCTGACCAAAGCTGGGGAGTGAGATGTAAGGCTTGGAGCACAGACCCTTCAACAATAGTGTTTAAGATCTAGAAGTGTTAGCAGAGATGGCTGAGGTAGCTTCTTGTTTTCTCGCAAGAAGGAAGTCAGATGTGGGACAGCAATGGTCAGCAAGGTGTAGAGGGGCAGGGCATCCATCAGGACCCATGGGCACCTCTGCAGACAGGACCCAAGCGAGAGCACCCACTTCCTCAGGCCGGGGAAGGCAAGGGGCCAGGGCTGAATGAGGGAACACACCTGGTGGGCAGGCGGGCTGGGAGCTGAGCACGCCGTCTGCACTCAGCCTGGGCACAGGGTCCGTTCTCCCTCTTCCCCTCCTCCCTCTTCTCCAGGACAGAGGGGCTGCTGAGTGTGAAGCAAGAGACATCCCTGGCTGTTCCGTACTCGGTGCTCCCAAGCTGGCTAGCCCACCTGGCACCGCACAGAGGTGGTGCCTTCCTGGGGGAGGGCGGGGAAGGCTTTGTCACCCGATGTTGCCCAGCTGGCTGGGCAGAGGGGATTCTCCTGGGCAGCCTTCCTGGGGGGAAAGGCTGGGACCACCTGTAAAGTTACAGGGTGTGGGCAGGACTGCACAGTGGGCAATGCTGGGCTGCTGCCAGGCGGCTACTGCTGCTTTGTTTTCCTCATTCCCCTCTCACACACACAGGCGAATTTCTAACCTCCTACCTAACAGATGGTCTTAGAATTCTGCTTAATGAAGCTCCTGTTTGATTAGTTTGCAACTTTAATTAGATTTTATGTCATAGGAGTACAAAAATTCTGGGACAAATATGGACAGCCTTCTAATATGGGGGAGAAAATAGATGTTTAGCACTCAAGCCTTTTACTTCCCTAACTTAGCTGTGTATGGAGTCACTTCCTTTTTTTTCAGTCTGCCTTTCTTCCAGTTCATCAACTTCTCCAGTGTGATGGCTTAGGGACAGGTGACTTTTAATCTGCAACTTCCCTAAACACAGTGCCACTTCACCAGGCAAAATGTTGCTGGCGGGTTAGTGTCATTGCTCATGTACGGGGATACTTCAAAGTTTGTGAGAAATAGAATTAAAAGATGCTTGTTTTGATGGCTTCCCCACCCCCATAAAAGTCCATGCATGGGGCTGGCATGATGGCTCAACTGGCTAATCCTCCACCTCTAAGCACTGGTATCTCAATTGGGCACTGGTTCATGTCCCTGCTGCTCCATGTCCTATTCGGCTCCCTGCTTATAGCCTAGGAAAACAGCAGAGGACACCCACCGTGCTTGGGCCCCTGCACCTGTGTGGGAGACCTAGAGGAAGCTCCTGTCAGACCCAACCATTGTGGCCACTTGGTGAGTGAAGCAGCAGATAGAAGATTGTTCTCTGTCTCTTCTTTTCTCTGTAAATCTGCCTTTCCAGTAAAAATCTTTTTTTATATCCATGCAGTTTTATCCTAATACACATTTTTCATGACCTTTTTTTTAGTAGGCAGCGAGAGCACATAAGCTCCCATCTGCTGGTTTCTGCACCGCATGTGCACAATGGCCAGGACTGGACTGAGACTGAAAGCCAGGATCTCAGTCCAGGTCTCCTGTGTAGGTGAGAGCAGTCCAGCAGCTGCAGCCATCACTGCTGCTACTGAGGGTTCGCATTAGCACGAAGCTGGAACCAGGGGCTGGCAAGGGCCATCAGACCCAAGCAGGCGCTGTGATACAGGATGCTTCTATCTGCACCCCAAGGCCAAACCCCCACTTCTTCCATAAACTTTGTGAAGATCCCTTGTATACATATATTTCAACTTTAAACTTATTCGAAGTATCTTGTGTCCCTCCAAAGCTGAGTAAGAGATCTTTACAATGGCAAAACCACTTGCAGCTGCCTCAAGCAGGCTGGTTGTGGTATGATTTTACAAGTCTGAGCTCTCTGTAGTTACTCATTATCCCTCTTTAGTTACTCATCAACTCATTTTAAGAGAATTTTTAGAAGAGTTAATGTGCATCCTGAATAAGATAAGAAATTGATTTCATTTTGCAGTATCCTGAAATTGATAAGCTTAATTTTTACGCTGGGATTTCATCAGTAAGATGTGTATAATCACATTGATTCCTGCCTGTACTACATTAGCATTAATTTGCTACTTATGAACGTGAACTGTTAAATATTAAAGGAAACTACTGGGGGGAAAAATTACCATTTAAAAAACTACCATCAGAAGCCAGTGCAATGGCTCAAGTAGTCAATCCTCCACTTCCAAGAGCCAAGATCCCATATGGAAGCAAGTTCTAGTCCTGGCTGCTCCACTTCTCTTCCAGCTCCCTGCTTGTGGTCTTGGAAAGCAGTACAGGAAACGTAAAAAATTTAAAAATTGATTAAAAAAAAAAAAAGGAAAGCAGTAGAGGATGGCTCAAAACTTAGGACCCTGCACTCACGTAGTAGACCCAGAAGAAGTTCCTGGTTCCTGGCTTCAGATCAGCTCAGCTCCAGTCATTGCATTCATTTGGGGAGTGAACCAGCAGATGAAAGACCTTCCTCTCTCTCTCCTTCTCTCTGGAAATCTGCCTTTCCAATAACAAATAAATAAATCAAAAATAAAACCATTACTACTTGTTAGAATAATATAAGCAAGTATTTTTGAGAAGAAAAAAATATATATTAAGGATTTATTTCTTTGAAAGGCAGAATTAGAGAAAGGGGAGAGAGAGAAAAAGACCTTCCATCTGCTAGTCCACTCCCTCAAGCGGCTGCAACAGCCAGAGCTGGGCCGGGCTGAAGCCAGGAGCCTGCCACTCCCATGTGGGTAGTAGCTGCACTTGGACCTTCTGCTGTCTTCCTAGGGTGTATCAGTAGAGAGCTGGATTGGAAGTGGAGCAGCTGGGACTTAAACTGCTGCCCATAAGTGCTGTGGGCACAGGCAGTGGCTTAGCTTGACTTCTGTGACAACACTAGTTCCAATATATCTTTTTTAAATAACATAAAGCAAAACAAATATGCCATGCCAGAAGTCAGAGTGTGCTACCCTGGAGGGGATAAGTGGGTGCTCCCAAGGCACTGTTGGTGCTCTGTGTCTTAATCTGGCTGGGTGACTCAAGTGCATTCCTTTGTCAACACTTGCTGAGCTGGGAACTCAGGGTTTGTGCAGTCTATTATGTTATAATTTGCTTTAAAAAAAAAATCCAGTGGAAAAACTAGGTCTTAATCATAACTGGTTTTTTTCAGACTACTATTGTCATGTGGTCCTCACTTTTGCTGTGTACGTTACACTCCTTGTCTACAGATCTTCAGAAGGTCTGCAGACAAACCCCAGCTCTTAGGGAACAATTTTAAAGTTTCACAGAGAAAAATTGGGTCTGCATTTCTTTCTGTTCCGATTCCTTCTCTTCAGTGCAAGTTAATATTTTACTGTGGAATACACATTCGTTGTGGTACATTGAATCACTATTGAAACCAAATGTTTTGCTGCTCCGCATACACAAATGACCAGAAAATGATCTGTGGTAGACCTTAGCCAGTTAGTTCTCCCTTTAGGCATGTTGCAAAATATAGACTTAGACCTCTAGGGGGCACTTGGATCTTCCGTGCCCTGGAGCAGCGACTTGATTTGGAAATGATTTGCATCTTTATTACCATGGAAAGCCCCATTGCCCTTTTTAAAATACAGCTCCTGCTTAATGCCAATCTCCATGATTTTCCTTCCTATATTGGTTCAGGTAATAATTGTGGTTTTACTCTTAAATTTCAGGCCGTTCCTTTTAGTCTTGACAACGTTGCCAATTCCATTCACTCCTTGTTTTCTGAAGAAACTCCAGTCGTTTTGCAGTTGGCTCCCAGTGAGGAAGTAAGTAATAGTTTGTACTGATGCTTTGAAAACTAGCCTTTCATAATTTTTATAGTTTTAAAACTCAGGTTATGATCGATGCTGTCAGTCTTGTGTGTACAGAGATTCATCAGTGGAATGTAACTTGGTGTTTTGGATTCTCCTTGCAGAGAGTATATATGGTGGGGAAGGCAAACTCCGTGTTTGAAGACCTGTCAGTCACCTTGCGACAGCTCCGTAATCGCCTGTTTCAAGAAAACTCCATTCTCAATTCCCTTCCCCTCAACTCTCTGAGTAGGAACAATGAAGTAAGGAGTGTGTTTGCTGAATTGAATACATGAATATCATTATTCGTTTCCCATTCCTCATGCTGTTTGAAATGTTGGAAACTTTGAAATTTCAGAAAACGAAAGTTGTGCAATTATTGTGCCATACTAGAGTCTATATTGGTATGCTCATACAGGTCTCATGATTCGTAAGCTGAGCTGTAGGAAATAGTGTTACATTCTAGCATGAGGGCTGTGTCATTTCCCCCACCATCCCCCACCCCCAATTAATTCTGGGACAGACCAAAGATCACAGTGTCTCCTTACTGGCTGGTGAAACCTGCAGACATGGTTACACGGAAGCCACTATTCAGTGCAGTGCCATTGGTTCTGGAGTCACCCCTACCTTTGGCTCCTGCCCTGTGGCTTCCCCACCTGCCCACGCACCCTCATAACTGCAGAGACGTATCTGCCAGGAACCTATCCTCTTTATCCGCTGTGAATGGCTAAGACCACCAGCAGGGAAAGTGGTCAAAGGGAGTGAGCAAACTGGGCCACTGGCAGGATCTCAGTGCAGTGCAGCTGGAGGGAACCCCACTGTAGAATGCGGGTCTATGAAAAATGGAGTGGTGATCACCCTGCCAGGGCATGGCTGTCACCTCTTTCTTTGGAAACAGCATTTGAAACCTTTTGCAATGGAAGCGAATCTCTCAAGGGGGGCACAGTTGTATGCGTTCTCTTTCGTGACTGACATCTGTAATATCCTGTGCCTTATTTGATAAATGGCAAACAGAAGGGAACTTCAAAAAGTCTGTGGAAAAATGGAATTAAAAGGTAAATTTATTTCAGTGCAGAAAACTTGAAATCATAGCATTCTTTAAATAGTTGATGGGAAATGCACATTATGGAAAAAAAAACATGTCTTTTAATTCCATTTTCCATGATTGCTGAGGTCCCCTTGTACAGCTCTCTGATGCATATTTAAAATAACGCTCATTTCCTTTGGCTTTGAAGGTTGACCTACTCTTTCTCTCTGAACTGCAAGTATTACATGACATTTCAAGTTTGGTAAGTTGACAGCCCTCACGTCTTAGTTCCATTTTGTTTAGCTTCTAGAGGATCCCTGAATGATACTGGAGGACAGTAGGAAAGTTGATGTCTGATATTTAGGATCTCATGAAAACTGCAAAGTTAGGGAGTTTTAAATTCATCTCCTGTTTAGTCATTATTTTGCATTTATACTTTTTTAAAAAAAAAATACATTTATACCTTTAAGAGAGACAGTATATTCTCCAAGAATACAGACCTGGAAATAAGAAGAACACCTTGGTTATAGTCCTAACTTAGCCATCAATTTTTTTTCTAAGATATTAAGACTTGATTCTGGTATCTTTGGGCTGACCATGGAAATAATATTGGAGCTAATAGTGCTACTGACCAAGTCAAGAAGAGACTAAATCTGCCTGAATTTTTTTTTTTTCTGGTGAATGCATTTTACAAAATCATCCTTGTGGCTAAAATGGAAGCCCTTAGCTGTTTGCTTGCTGCCAAAATCAGTTCCTAAACTTTTCAGCGGGCGTCACCTTGGGGGAGGCAGAGGTTCTGCAAGCCAAGCACTGTAGCCCTAGGAGGCCACTGAGAGGCCAGTGGGAGGTGTGTTCTGCTCCAACCGCCGGGGCTCGGAGATTCCTGAACTCATCAGGCTGAGGCTGGTCTACCCTTCTATTCTTTCACCCCCTAGCTCATGTCTGAAGTCTTAAAAGCAAGGCAGGTTTTGAAGAGCTTTCATTAAAGATTCAGAGTCCAGGCACTGCTCCTAAACCTAAGATTGTGTTAGGTTTGTTTTTTATCAAAAACTCCTATTTCAAACCAGTTGCCTTTGCCCCCATTTTAGACTATTCGTGTACTGTGAGACACTGGCATGGGTCAATAAATAAGGCCTACCACTTGGAATGGCTGTGTGTGACACCTTACTTTGTCTGCTGCCGCGTTTTGCTCTCTTCTCCCCAGTTGTCTCGACATAAGCATCTAGCCAAGGACCATTCTCCAGATCTGTATTCGCTGGAGCTGGCAGGTTTGGATGAAATTGGGAAACGTTATGGACAAGACTCTGAGCAATTTCAAGATGCTTCTAAGATCCTTGTGAATGCCCTGCAAAAGGTAAATTTCAGTGTGGGTAAGAGTGTGGAGTGTGCCCAGGTCTCTTAGCCTCCACATGGAAAACTGCTCCAGGAAACATGAGTCAAGTCTCCTGTGCCTTCTGCAGGGTCCTCCTTATCACAGTGGCCAAGGGTAGAGTCAGAAGTGGGAATGCATAGTGGGAGTTTTTTTCCAGTGTTGGAAGGAGCAGCATTAGAAAGCAAGTGATACCCCCAGTGCAGTACTTTGCATATGTGGATTCTGCATAAATGTGTAAAACTTAGCACTGTAATCACTTTTTTAAAAATTTATTTTTACTGGAAAGCCATATTTACGGAGAAGGAGAGACAGAAAAAAAGATCTTGCATCCACTGGTTTACTTCCCAAGTGGCCGCAATGGCCAGAGCAGAGTTGATCCAAAGCCAGGAGCCAAGAACCTCTTCCAGGTCACTCACGCAGGTGCAGGGTTCCAAGGCTTTGGGGCATCCCCAGGCCACAAGCAGGGAGCTGGAAAGGAAGTGGAGCAGCTGGGATACAAACTGGCGCCCATATGGGATCCCAGTGTAGGCAAGGTGAGGACTTTAGCTATTAGGCTACTGTGCTGGGCTCAGTGGTATGATCATGTGTTAGTGGCCTTAAATACACTGACATATTGCACAACCTGCATCACTAGGACTTTCTCATCTTCCTGAACTAAAACTCTGTACATGTTAAACACTGTGAGACAGTCAAGGCAGAACACCTAGCATACTAACAGGCATTTAGTAGGTGCTTAAGAAATGCATTGTCTCCTCTGCCCTTGAAGTTGCTCATCTGAACTTCTTTAGTAAGGCCTTGCAGAAGTTTGTGATTAAACAGAGACCAGTTAGGAAGATTGGGTGTTATTGTGATTCCTTTTGATTCACTTGAAAGGCAGAGAGGAACAGTCTCCCACTCATGGTTTACGCTGTAGGTGCTCCCAACAGCACAGACTGCAGCAGGTCGAAGCCAGGCCTCAGACTCAGCCCACTCTCCCACAGGGGTGTCCGAAACCTAAGCATTTGAATCATTACCTACTGTCTCCCAGTGTGGGTGTTAGCAGGAACCTGCAGTTGGGAGCGGAGCCAGAACTAGAACCCAGCACTGTGATATGGGACACCAATTGTCCTAAACTGCATCAAAGGCCCCACTTCAGGAGGAGTTCTTCATTTCCCTTCCTTCTTCCCCCTCCCCAAGTTTATATGCCAACAAGTTCAGTCTCAAAGCAACCACTTTCGAAATTTTAGTAGCTGTTCAAGCTCAACGCTTTTCTGAATATTTTAACATAATCAAAACCTTGAAGACTTGGCCCTCTCTAAGACATAGTGTAGGGGCTAGCACTGTGGCATTATAGGTTAAGCTTTTGCCTATGGTGCCAGTATCCTGTATGGGGACTGGTTGGAATCCTAGCTGCTCCACTTCTTTTTTTTTTTTTTTAAAGATTTATTTTTTATTATTTTTTTATTGGAAAGGCAGATATACAGAGAGGAGAGACAGAGAGGAAGATCCTCCGTCCGATGATTCACTCCCCAAGTGAGCGCAAGGGGCCGATACTATGCCAATCCGAAGCCAGGAGACTCCTCCGGGTCTCCCACATGGGTGCAGGGTCCCAAAGCCTTGGGCCGTCCTTGACTGCTTTCCCAGGCCACAGGCAGGGAGCTGGAAGGGAAGCGGGGCTGCTGGGATAGAACCGGCACCCATATGGGACCCCGGGTGTGCAAGGCGAGGACCTTAACCACTGCGCCATCGTGCCGGGCCCAGCTGCTCCACTTCTAATCCACCTGAGAAAGCAGCAGAAGATGACTCAAGTCCTTGGGCCCCTCCCTAGGCCCACCTGGGAAACCTGGAAGAAGCTCCCAGCTTCTGACCAGCCCAGCTCTGACTATTGTAACTGTTTGGGGAGTGAACTAGTGGGTGGAAGATCTGTCTCTCTTCTCTTTACTATGCCTTTCAAATAAAAATAAATAAATCTTTGAAAATAAAAATAATAAGACATAGTGTAATTTGTGAACCACCAGTAAGTATATGGCTTATGGCTACACTAATGATTTATAAGCCATTTTTTTTAAAAAAAGAATGTGAGTGATGCATGTTAATTAGCTCAGTTGAGCCATTTTGCATAAAGACTTTGTCCATTTAAAAGAGATAAAGATGTATTTGAGACAAATAACATTAATAAGAGATTTTCAGTTTGCAGATGACATGTACAATCTGTATGGTGGGAATGCTGTGGTGGAATTAGTGACTATCAAATCATTTGACTCATCCGCCGGGAGGAAGGCAAGGACCATCCTTGAGATAAAACAAGATGTGAGTATGATTTTACATCCTGCTTTAAAACTTAGAAAGGTCACTTTAAAAAAAACAGATCCAATCCTGTAGCTTCTGTGGTGACACAAAGGTGAATCGGACAATCAATTTCAGTTGAAGGCAAGCTTTCTCATTTACAGTTTGCCAGTAATGCTCACTTCTTTGTGGGTGTCATCACACAACACAAGCAGTTGAGTCTGGGATGAAAATCAAATTTGTCAAAACCAAAAAGGCCATTCAGATATGGGTAGACACGAGGAGGCACCCGAAGTGCCCCTGAGGGGCTGGCGGGCTTCCACCGCCTGCGGATGCCACTCCTCTAGGAGGTGCCTCGTCTCTGTGACCCAGGTTCATTGTGACCCTTTTGTGCACAACTCTACTTTGACTTGACTTCAACAGTCTTTTGATAAGGCTCCTTCTTTGATCTTAAGCATTTAGTGGGTTGGAGGCATGGTCGGTGGCCATGGTAAAATATATGTGTGTTTGTCACTGGTTAGTTGCAGCCGCCATCTCAAATCCTTAGACCATTTTTGCTAAACACACTAGACCAAAGTGAATGCTCTGAAATGGGAAGTTAGTATGAAACGTGCTGTGGAATACTCAGCAGTCTCTGATTCCCTCTGTCGTGTCACAGACATCACTGTGGTACATCCAACCCTTCTGTACTCATGGTCTGTCCTGCTTCCCAGGGGAGAGAGGCCTCAGCATGAGGTTTCTTTGTAGGGTTCTGAAATTAGGTTGTGCCAATGACTGTACAGCTCTGTAAATACACTAAAATTCATTGAGTCATCCCTGTCAAAGGCATGGGAAAGGGAACCTGCTTATGAAGAGAAGCCAATAATCTTTCCAGGATTGGAGATCCTTCACTTCAACCCTAAGCTCCCTGCGGGTAACACACACACATACGTCCCCATTCTCTGCCCCGGCTGAAATGCCCAGCTTCCCTTAGTGTAAGGAGATGCTGATCGAGTCCTCCTAGTGGGACAGATAGAACCTGGGTATTCTCCATTTGCACTGCTAGGCACCATGCCCTCATTTCTCACACCTCACTATGGCACTGCCTTCTAAACTATTTCCCTGTTTGCTCTGCTGGCCTGTCCCAGATCCATCCTACAGACTGACATCAGACTTAACCTTTTTTAAGCCAAACCTGAGCCAAATCATGTCACTCACTTCCTGTCTAGAAGTGGCCCCTGACTTCTCCGTGCCCCTAGGCACAAGTCCAGATTCTCCCTGTCTTCTCTGATTCTATTCCCTGTCCTGCTGTCGTCCTACTGTTGAAGTGTTCAGGGCCAAAATGAATTCACTTTTATCATCAATGCCTTTGTCAGGCCAGGAACTGATCCTCTCTCCTCTCCTCTCCCCTCCTGTGAGGCCTGGCAGTTCCGGCTCCAAGACAGGTGATGGGATTGATGCACCATTTGTTTCCCTCTTTAAAATTATAAGCTAGTTAATACTAGTAAAAGAATGGAAATATTAACTCCCCGTGGCTTAAGAGAACAGTCGTGCCTGGCAAGAGCTCCTACCTTCTCGGTCTGTCTGTCCCCCTCCAGAGGTGACTATTAACTCTGTCATGCTCTGCTTTTCCTTATATATACTTGGGCTACATGTGTGCTATCATCTGGTTTCATCTGTATTTGAATTTTTTACAAATACAATCACACTGCACATCTTCTTCTGGTTCTTCGCTCAGTATTGCCTTTAAGAAAACCATGCCAGGTGATCAACATGGCTGTAGTTCTGTCACTTCATTGCTGTTACAACCCTTGTGTGCGTATACCACAACCATGCATTCTGTCGCTGTTCTCATGTGTGTCCTGGAATGGGTATAGATAGATGTCTTCCCTAGGCTGTGGGCTTCCTGAAGTGCAGCATATGCACACCTTCAACTTCATTCGGTGTTGCCAACTTTTCTCAAGCAGTTGGACCAGTTTATACTACGACCAGTACTGCCAATTACCCTCTCCACAAAGGTCCCCATTAGTTCCTCCTGGTGCAAGTGATATCTTCTGGGTTATGAATAAATGTCTGTTAGACAAATGATTCCTAGCCACTGTATTGAGATTATTTCCAATCTTAAAATTCTTCCCTTGAGGCAGATGCTGCGCAAGTGAAGCCTTGACTTGTGACACTGGCATCCAATATGGATGGCAATTCAAGTTTTAGCTGCTCCATTTCCAATCCAGCTCACTGCTGATGGCCTGTAAAGGCAGTAGAAGATGCCCCAAGTGCTTAGGCCCCTGGACCCATGTGTAGGGAATGCAGAACAAGTTCCTGGCTTTGGACAGGCCTACAGCTCCACTTGTTGTAGCCATTTATGGAGTGAACCAGCAGATGGAAGATTCTCTCTCTCTTGTGTTTGCTTTCTCTGGCACTCTGCTTTTCAAGTAAAAATAATTAAATCTTTGAAAAAGAATGGCTTTTGAAAAAAATTTTCCCTGTTGATTTTTTTTTCTTTTTTCATTATAGAATCCAAGTTCCTACAACCTTGCATATAACTATAATTTTCAGTATCCAGTGATTTTCAACATGATACTTTGGATCATGATCGCCTTGGCCTTCTCTGTGATCATCACTGCTTACAATATTTGGAACATGGATCCCGGATATGATAGCATCATTTATAGGATGACAAACCAGAAGATTCGAATGGATTGAACTTGTCAGGCTTAGGAAAGGAGTTTAGGAATTGCTTGTTTTATTAAAATGTATCTTTTAGTGTGGTTTGAAGTAGATACAATACTTTAAATTTGTTTAAAAAAATGTTCTCTATTTTGTCTGTGCCTGTGATATTTTTTCAGAGTGAAGTGTAGTATTGATATCAAGTGAACTCCGTGACAGATTCCATAATAAGCTCGACTGTTATGACATGCCCATGTAATATAATCTCATTCCATTTAATAAAGTTGGAAATATGCACTGAATGAAGATGTAAAATGCTTGGAATAGTCTGTGTTATTTAAGCTGGAAAAGTACACTGAATTTATTACAGAAACATCAATGCTCAACTTTCTCACACAAGATAGGAAAAAAGATCATGTTTGGGATGTTGTATCTATGAACCATTTATAAATGTCTTAATTTGATGTAAATATCTCTGAAACAAGAGAAAGGTGTTTTAACTTGTTGCAGCCTTCAAACGTGGGTGTGCATACACAGTCGCTTCGCCCTAGGACTGATGAACAGGGTAGCTGCTTTCTGAACTTCTGCAAGTTTGGTGCTCTATTATCTAGTACAGATATTGAAGCTACTGCAGTGATCTACGGGGAGACTAGCTTTGTGGAGTCTAGATGCTTACAATTATACTTTTAGAGCCAGATCTTTGGGAAAGATACCTTGAATCATGTTTTTGCTTCAATAACCTTTCACCTATAAATTTACTACAGTATGCATAAAATTTCATTCTGCAGAGTATTAAATGAAAATGGATGATTTTTACTTTTCATGTAAAAGTGGACCAATGCCTATAAGGAGTGACAAAGTTATGAATGATTCCAAATTTGTTCCACTTCAGTACTAAATTTTTTATAGTGTAAAAACCTGTTGGACAGAGCCCTATAAAGTAACCTAGCGGCTAAAGTCCTCGCTTTGCATGCACCAGGATCCCATATGGGCAATGGTTCTAATCCCAGTGGCCCCACTGCCCATCCAGCTCCCTGCTTGTGGCCTGGAAAAGCAGTCGAGGATGACCCAAAGCCTTGGGACCCTGCACCTGCGTGGGAGACCTGAAGGAAGCTCCTGGCTCCTGGCTCCTGGCTTTGGATTGGCTCAGTTCTGGCCATTGCGGCCGCTTGGGGAGTGAATCAGTGGACTAAAGATCTTCCTGTCTCTCCTCTCTGTATATCTGACTTCCCAATAAAAATAAATAAAATCATTTTTTAAAAAACCCCAAAAAAGGGCCCGGCGTGATGGCGTAGTGGTTAAGGTCCTCAGCTTGCACACCCGGGATCCCATATATGGGCACTGGTTCTAATCCCAGCAGCCCCGCTTCCCTTCCAGCTCCCTGCCTGTGGCCTGGAAAAGCAGTCAAGGATGGCCCAAGGCTTTGGGACCCTGCACCCATGTGGGAGGCCCGAAGGAGGCTCCTGGCTTCGGATTGGCACAGCTCCAGCCGATGCGGCTACTTGGGGAGTGAATCATCAGATGGAAGATCTTCCTCTCTGTCTCCTCTCTGTATATCTGCCTTTCCAATAAAAATAAAAATAAATCTTTAAAAAAATCCCTAAAAAACATTTATCTCATCAGAAATGGTTTTTTTTTTTTTCTTTTTGCTGTTGTTGATAACAGATGGTTTTACACTGGATTTTTTTTTTAATTTATTTCCTTTTATTGGAAAGTCAGATATACAAAGAGGAAGAAAGACAGAGAGGAAGAGCTTCTGTCCACTGATTCACTCCCCAAGTGACCACAACGGCTGGAGCTGAGTCGATCCAAAGCCAGCAGGAAGGAGCTTCTTCCGGGTCTCTCCTGCAAGTGCAGGGTCCCAAGGCTTTGGGCAGTCCTTTACTGCTTTCCACAAGCAGGGAGCTGGATGGGAAGTAGAATAACCAGGATACAAACTGGTACCCATATTGTTTAGCCACTAGGCTATTGCACCAGGTCCTTACTATAACATTTTTAAAGATGAAGGAATAGCTCAAATAGAGTCTTAAAGGTGTAGTGTTATTTCTTTTTTAAAAGATTTATATATTTTATTTGAAAGGTTTTATAGAGGAGAGAGAGAGATCTTGCATCTGCTGTGTCACTCCCCAAATGGCAGCAACAGCCAGACCTGAGCTGATCCAAAGCTGGGACTCAGGAATTTCTGAGTCTCCCACGCGGGTGCAGGATCCTAAGGCTCTGGGCCATTTCCAGGCCATAAGCAGGGAGCTGGATACGGAGTGGAGCAGTCAGACATGGATTGGCATCCCATAGGATGCTGGCTCTACAGGGTGGGGAATTAGCTTGCTGTGCTACCAAGCCAGCCCATTTAGTGCTTTTCTGAGAAGACATATAATGGGGTATAGTGTAAGCAGTCCTGTTACTGGGAACCCTCCTTAGGTCTAGGTTAGCTGTTTCTGTCTCTTCTTTGGAAAGTCATTAAATCATTTTTAAATAGTTGAGTGGCAAGTTTGAGAAGAGTCTATTTAGCTGTGTCTTCTGCCACTTCCAGCCAAATGCCTTTAATAATTAACAGCATTAAACTTCCATAAATAGGGGCTGGTGTTGTGGTATAATGGATTAAGCCACTGCCTACAAAGCCCATATAGGCATATAGCCCATCCCATATAGGCACTGGTTCAAGTCCTAGCTATGCCACTTTTGATCCAGCTCCCTGCTGGCACACCTGGGGAACAAGTGGAAAATGGCCCAAGCCCTTGGGCCCCTGCACCCAGGTAAGAGACCAAGAAGAAGCTCCTGGCTTCAGCCTAGGCCTGCTCTGGCAAATATGACTACTATATGGCGAATGAACCAGAAGATGGAAGCTGACTCTCTTGTCTCTTCCCCTACCCCCTCTCTCTCTAACTCTTTCAAATAAGTAAATCTTTTGCTAAACATCAGACTTCTATAGAATGGAGTCAGTTTTCGTTTTCCTCCGGCCTCTCACTGAAGTGTACGTAATAGTGTGAAGCAATCTCACAGGGAAGAAAAACTACCAAGTCACTCAAGTATTCTCTGCTCCTTACCCCTTGCCAGCTTGGTGGGGTGACGGCATTTTAGCTGCCTGGTCCCAACAGGGCTCACATTTGGGGAGCAGAAATCTATAATGCTGCAGAGCAGTTGGAATCCATTTTTCTTCCAAGTTTCTTATATATAAACATTGCCATAGAAGTTAGACTGTTATGATTAAATATGAAGTAAACCAATGCCTTTGTAATTTAAAACTGATGAGACTTTAAGTTCTAGGGGAAGAAAAAAATTAATTACATGACAGCACTAATCCTTATAGGGTAAATGGCATCAGCATCCTTCTATCTGTGTTAGGCAGAAAGCAATTAATTAAAATAAATGTTCTGCCAAGATTATTATACCTGTTGCTGATGATTTGCTCTTAAATTAAGTCTAATTTGTTCAGGAACATAAATCACAGTGCTGAGATCTGTGTGAGAGGCAGGAAAGGCAGACTCATGGCAGACTGTTCTGACATTGAAAGAGGAAATCCAATCCAATCACTTGGCAGCTAATTGGAAGATTCCAGGATTACAAAATATCAGATTCTATATGTGCTAGATAGTGCTTATGGCCTACTCTATTAGAAATAACACAGAATCGATTTTTATTTTCTTTGGCTATGTCTTTCTTAAGTGAGTGATAATATATTTTCATCGATCCATGTCATACGGAAGCTATAAACTTTTCAATGGACAGTCCAGTTGAGGAGCTGGGACCAATAACCATGCCTTCTGAATCTCACAGTGGCATCAAGCCTTCTAGCCTTGGACTTAGATAAAGTTTCTTTCTAGCCTTTTCATGTCAGAATGGCTGAATATGCCACATTTTCTTGGGAAAACAGAGTGGGTCAAAGGAGGTCAGGAGTAAGAGCCATTGTGGTCAAAATGCATCAGCACACATATCACTGAATTAGGCTCACTGGCTTCACCATTCTGTAGCTGAATAATCTCAGGAAAATCTTTTAACTTTGCTGAATGATGGTAATACCCCAGGTTTGTGGGAATTAGCACTCAAAGAGAAAAACACATTCTGAAGTTTGTGGATGGTTAATAAACTACAGTACACTAGTGAAGTAAAGTAAATTCAAGGAACTCTACTCAGACCAATATTATTATGCTCTTGATGTTCACTAGCCAGTCTCTTCCTGCAAGCCACAGGAGCAAACTTCAGTGAAATGTCAGCTGGCCTGTTCGTATCCTTAACACTTGTCCCCTTTAATCTTGACTGATGTTCAAGATTGTTAGCCAGTTAATTTACAGTCCTTCAATTTGGGCTTGGGCTTTGCTCAGGACTCAGTTCAGGCTATTTGTTTCTGGAAAGAAGACAAGTGAAGTGGTTGGTGGTGTGCCCATCACAATACATCCTTATCAGGAGACAGGGATATCAATGTCTCATTTTTGATGATGTAAACTTTGGTCAAACTGCCAAGTTTTTCCCCTTTAAAGTTACTCATTTTTTTCCTTAACATTTTAAACTTTATTATTATTATTAAACACTTTAAAGAATGAGCCTGGTTACCTCTAGCCCAGGGCTAATACAAATCACTTTTTAAAAATATTTATTAATATTTGAGAGGCAGATATACAAAACACAGAGACAAGGAGAGACAGAGATCCTTAATCCTCTGGTTCACCCCCCAAATGGCTGCAATAACCAGAGCTGGCCCAGTCCGAAGCCAGAAATCTGGGTCTCCCACGTGGGTGTAAGGGCCCAACAACTTGGACCATCTTTTGCTCTTTCTCAAGCACACTAGCAGAGAGCTGGATAGGAAGTGGAACAGCCAGGACTCGAACCCACACCTATATGGGATGCTGGCACTGTATGTAGGTGGAGTCTTAGGTTACAATGTTACCATACAGCCTCCATAATTAAATACCTTTAAAATATCATACTTCTAGGGCCCGGAGCGGTGGCGCAAGAGGTTAAAGGTCCTCACCTTGCACACCCGGGATCCCATATGGGCACAGGTTCTATCCCAGCAGCCCCGCTTCCCATCCAGCTCCCTGCCTGTGGCCTGGGAAAGCAGTCGAGGACGGCCCAAAGCTTTGGGACCCTGCACCCACGTGGGAGACCTGGAAGAGGCTCCTGGTTCCCGGCTTCGAATCGGCATAGTACCGGCTGTTGCGCTCACTTGGGGAGTGAATCATCAGACGGAAGATCTTCCTCTCTGTCTCTCCTCTCTGTATATCCGCCTTTCCAATAAAAAAATAATAAAAATAAATCTTTAAAAAAATAAAAAATATATCATACTTCTAACATTAATTTTATCATTCATTGATTTTTTT